TTAGAGTTAATACTAACCGACATACTAGAGAATTCTATTAGTTAGTATAAATATAAGCATTGTGTATGTGTGTGGGTTTGAGTGATAAAAATAAAAAAGAGAGTGGTGAGCATTGTAAGTGCTACGTGTTTATTAATTAAAAAAAAATATGTGTGAGTGAAATTATTGAGTGGTGAGTGAGGAAAATAATAAAAGTAAGGTGTGTGCTTGTGTAGTGTGAGTGCTTACAAAAAGAGTGTATTGTGTGAGTTGTGAGTTATATATTTGTAATAATAAAAATAAATTTGTAGTGTTAATCTTTAGCATATTGGCCCATTTATTTCCAACACGTGGTATCAGAGCCACGTCTGGAAAGTTCATGCTCGTGCCAATTTATTCAGGGCTCATCACTATCCGTCAACTAGGGGGAGATTATTGAGTTCAAAGGCATCGTGCACAATTAAAAGAAATTGTGAAGCGCGTGAGGCTTGCTTGGTTTACGAGGAGGTAGTCCAAGTCACGATGGTGGATCTACAATCAGTAGGCGGAATGGAGAAACTCAATAACCAAAATTACACCACATGGAGGACATGCATGGAGTCGTATCTCCAAGGCCAAGATCTGTGGGAAATTGTTGGCGGAGAAGAGGCCACACCACCTGAAGAAGCTGGGGCCTTACGTAAATGGAAGATAAAGGCAGGAAAAGCCATGTACGCACTCAAGACGACCATTGACAAAGAGCTGCTGGAGCACATACGGGACGCAAGCACTCCAAAACAAGCGTGGGACACTCTGGGAGCATTATTTTCCAAAAAGAATGAGTTCAAGCTGCAACTTCTCGAGAACGAGCTCCTGTCACTCAAACAAGGGGAGATGACGATTCGTGACTACTTTAACAAGGTACGAACTCTTTGTCGAGAAATCTCTGAATTGGACCCCACTGATAATGTTTCAGAAGCTAAGATGAGAAGAATTATTATTCATGGCTTAAGACCCGAATTTAGGAGGATTATAGCCGCTATACAAGGTTGGTCTGAGCAGCCTTCTTTGGTAAATCTTGAAAATATTTTAGCCGACCAAGAAGCATTGACCAGACAAATGGCGGAAGTCTCATTAAAGAAAGAAGATGAAGCTTTATTTAGTTATAAAAAGAATATGAGACCACGCCAACAATATAAAAGAGATAAGAAGGAATATATTAAAAAGGAAGAAAGAAGCTCTGAAACAAAGGGGATCCAACAAGATCGTTATAAGAAATATCAGACATCCAAGGGGAATATAAAGGGCCCATGCTACGTATGTAGCAAGCGGAATCACTATGCCAGAGATTGCTGGCATAGGAAAAAGGTTGCTGAAGGGAATATAGCAACGTCAAACAACCAGAAGACTAACAACAGCAAAGAAGAGTGAGACATAGAGGCATCCATGGCGATAGTCGAGGAGATCGTCCCAACTATATCTGAGGAGGCCCGTAAAGAAGAGCAATCAAGCTTAAACGAAAAAACGGCATTGGCTGTCGTTGTCCCTGGATGAATAGATTATGAGAATGATTGGATCGTGGACTCAGGATGCTCCAATCATATGACATGAGATAAAGGAAAGTTGCAGAACACAACTCAATACAAAGGAGGCCAGATGGTAGTCACTGCTAACAATTCAAGGTTGCCAATAGCTCATATTGGCAAGACGATCATCACTCCACGGTATAGTCCTGGTCAAGTTCAACTGCAGGACGTCTACCATGTCCTAGGTATGAAGAAAAATCTTCTATCAGTATCACAACTGAAAACTTTGGGGAATTATGTTATTTTTAGACCCAATAACGTCAAGGTGTACGAAAATCCCAAAATTATCGGCACACCGATCATGAAGGGTCGAAAGCTCGAGTCCATCTACGTAATGTCAGCAGATTCTGCTTATGTAGATAAGACTCGAAAGAATGAAACAGCTGACTTATGGCATGCGAGGCTGGGACATGTAAGCTATCATAAGCTTAAGGTGATGATGAAGAAATCAATGTTGAAGGGCCTCCCTCAACTAGAGATAAGAAATAACACAATATGTGCTGGCTGTCAATATGGTAAAGCACATCAACTACCATTTGAAGGTTCAAGCTACAGAGCAAAGAAGCCTCTCGAAACAATTCTCTCTGACATATTCGGGCCAGTTAAACAACCTTCAATCAGCGGTATGCGCTATATGGTGACATTTATCGATGACTTCTCAAGGTACGTTTGGGTATTCTTTATTAAAGAAAAATCAGAAGCATTCACAAAGTTTAAAGATTTCAAAGAATCTGTTGAAAGAGAAGTCGGAGATAAGATCCAATGCCTTCGCACGGATAACGAGGGAGAATACACATCAAGAGAGTTCTCTCGATATCTGAAGGAGCATAAGATACACCATCAGCTGACGTGTCCAAACACACCTCAGCAAAATGGCATAGCAGAAAGGAAAAATCAGCACCTGGCAGAAACGTGTCGAAGCATGATACATGCAAAGAACGTACCGGTGAGGTTCTGGGCAGAATTGTATGAAGACGGCAGCCCACGTAATAAATCGGCTACCACAAGCAAAGTTGGGATTCATGTCACCATTCGAAAAGCTATGGAAAATCAAACCAACTGTTAGCCACTTTAGAGTTTTCGGATGCGTCTGTTACGTGTTTGTACCAAGTCATTTACAGAGTAAATTTGACAAGAAGGCAATCAGATGCATATTCTTGGGATATGACAACCAAAGAAAAGGGTGGAGATGTTGCGATCCATCAACCGGTCGGTGTTACACATCACGCAACGTGATATTTGATGAAGCGTCCTCTTGGTGGACACCACAGAAGCTGGAGCTACCAAATTCCAAAGAAATCGAGGACAAACTCCAGAAGTGGGTGAAACTTCCAGAAGCAACTCAAAGAATGGAAGAATCAAACGAGGAAGGGGAGTCACCAAGAACAACTCAAAGTCCGTGGCAGACCGGTGTACATGAAGTAACTCCAGAAGTGATGAGGCCAACTCAACTCGAGGAGTTTGAGCCACCAGGAGAGGAAGCATGTGAAGTACCGACAAGTCCACAACAACTACGGAGATCTTCCAG